AGAGCTGGACAAGCAGCCCAAGAGGAAACTCCCCAGGAACACATGTGTCCTTAAAGAGGGCACTTCCACTAGACGAGCCTTTTCCCACAGGCTGACCTTTATCTGCTCCAGCTGCCTTGGGAATCTCCATCCAGACAAACGCCAAATGTGAAGTAACACCCCTCACACACACACTGATGTTACACGCAGAGACCCCTGGACTTTGGAGTCCATGGATTAATTCAATGTACACAAAACTGTGTGCTCACTGTATTGTTGAGGCAGAGTCCATACCTTACAAAATTCACAGAAAGAACCACAAATACAATAAGGGTGATCGGGACAAGGAGGCCTGTTGGCAGAATCGGCTGCCCTTGCCTTCCTACCCTGTTCAAAGAGTAGGTCACACCATGGGCTCCAGAGCAGGCTGTGTCATCTAACCCTCCCACGTAATCTCTTCCCAACCACTGTTTGGTCTTATCCAAACACAAACACACCACCCACCAATCCAGAACGCAGTATTTTTCCCAGACACAAGAGGCTGAGTAAGAACAAAGAGAAAGTCTTCAGCTCTCAGAGGGGGAAACTTGATACCTTTGAGATAGGAAAGGCCAGAACCACCTGACACAGAACAAATTCAAAACCGAAGCCCTAACAGCTTTTATTCAGACGTTTCTTATCAAATGGATTTAAAGAACACATGCAATTTTCTCTCTTGGTAAGAACAGGTCATTGTCTGTGAACACTGGTTCCCCACTACCTTTTTAAGGCACACACACCCAAATTGTCAGTTCTCCCATATACAGAAGAAAATGGGGTGGCGTGAAACACACACAGTCTCATTTCTGTAAACCGTGTCATTTTCAGTCTATATTTAGCTTGTGTTCCCAGTTCTAGAAAGCTCAAGATGGCCCAAGACATTCAGAGAACCTAAAGTTGAAAGTAAATTGCTCCCACAGTCCCTGTGGCTAACACTCTGTGCAGAACCTCTACAGCACTCCACATCAGCAGTCTCTCAGCTGCCAACATCTCCCAAGCACGTGGCGTGGTTCAGAGGTATGCATGGCGCTGTCTCCTATGAATGTCAGCTTGCAGCTTCAAGGCCAGAAACCACGAGAAGTAGTAGAACTTTGAAAGTGATACTCACTGAAGCTGGCATTTGCTCTGACAGAGCTAACTCACAGCTCTGATGTTTCAGATACATTCGTGAAAGAGAGGGTCCTCAGCAGGCAGAACAGGTGGACACAAAAACCCTATTACGCACATGTGAGTAATAAACATACTGTTTTTCTATCGTTGGAAAATTTATTTGAGATTTGAAGAGAGTAATCCTTCATCCAGCCCATACGAGTAGTTTCATATGCAAAACCGAAACCAGATATAAGAATACAGGTTATTCTGACCTGATCAAGGTAGAGCTCTTGAACCCCAGACTTATGGCTGAGAGACAAGCATGGGACTGATCCAGATCCCCTGAATGTGGGTGTCAGTGAGGAGGCCTCGGCAATCTATGGGGCCTCGGGTAGTAGATCAGTATTTATCCCTGGCGTACAAATGGACTTTGGGTGTCCATCCCACATTGAGGGATGCTTTCTCAGCCAGGACACATGGGGGAGGGCCTAGGTCCTGCCCTGGATGAAATGACAGACTCAGGAGGTCCCCCATGGAGGGCCTCACTCTCCCTGGGGAGCAGAGTGGGGATTAAGTAGAGGGGGCGGAAAGAATACAGGCTATTTTACAGATGGCAGAAAAATACTAGCAACTGCTCCGAATAAGGAAAAAAGCAGGACCATATATATAATACCATGAAAAGTAGCACCAACCAGTGAGAATAAACTGGAAACTTGACATTGTAAGTAGGTCCTTTAAGTGCAAGCTATAAGCACCCCAGCAAGAAAAATATGGACACTCATGATCTATTATTAAACTCAGTCTACTTAGTGAGTTTTCTGTTGCTCACGAAATGCTACTCTTTCTGCATTAGGATAACTGAAGATAAACGGAACAGAACACAAACTTGTTTCCCAGCTGTGGGTATTCTATTATTGGTATAGTCTTATTCTTCCTAACTGATGATCCTAAACATTATAAAATTGATCAAAATTTGAAAAGCTTTCTTCAGTAAAGTTTCATTAACCTGTGAAATCCAGCACTGGAGTCTGGGCCTCATCTATCCATGTTTTGACGATGCCTAAAGACGAAGGCTTGCTCACAGGCTGAGAACACTACTCACACCTGGAAAGCAAACAAGGGGACTGGTCAAACCCAAGAAAAACATCAAGAGCGCTAGAAGAGATTTACAAGGCTCACACGGGGAATGGACAATCTCAGAATCCTCTCTCCCGAGGGCACAGCATGCTCTCCTGTTCAGTTTTGTTGTGGTCTCACAGGTTTAACCTTCAGCTCTCCTGAGGAATTCCAAGCTACCTCTGCAAGCGTAAACACTGACAAGCACTAGACAGAGGGCCAGGTACACATACCAGATAGGGAAGTGCAATCAGAAGTGACTTGTCCCATTTGGTAAATCACACTAAATCCTACAGAGCAAAGATCTGAACCCAGGTGTGTTTGATTCCAGCGCACTTCCAAAGAACTCTAGAACTTTGAATGCGAAAGGAACCGTATCATAATAATGGCCTTTCTATTTATAAATCTACAAAGCAGGCTGGGAATATAGCTCAATGGTAGAGCACTTGTCTAGCACATGTGAGGATCTAAATTCAATTCCCAGCACTGCAAAATAGTAATAATAATAATAAACTAAAAGTCTACAATTCATCAGGAGTTTTACACACCTTATCCTCCTACCCTATCCAAAGGAAGTGATAACATTTGGACTTATGGATAAGGATGTGTCAACAGAGAAGTGACTTGTCCAGAGCCACAGACCAAACATGTGAGCTTAATTCCAAGTTGGCTTTCTCCTGTGCATGACCTCAATGAATCCAAAATGACCTCCAAGTCTTCACAGTTCAACAGCTTACTTGTTTTGAAAGAAACTGGAATAGGGCCGGGCGTTGGTGGCACCTGCCTTTAATCCCAGCACTCAGGAGGCAGAGGCAGGCGGATCTCTGAGAGTTCAAGGCCAGCCTGGTCTACAGAGCAAGTTCCAGGACAGTCTCCAAAACAATACAGAGAAACCCTGTCTCCAAAAAAAGGAAGGAAGGAAGGAAGGAAGGAAGGAAGGAAGGAAGGAAGGAAGGAAGGAAGGAAGGAAGGAAGGAAGGAAGGAAGGAAGGGGAATAGGCTACATTTCTTCCTAAAAAACTGACAATGGCAAGAAGCTCATTTGACTTCAGAGCTGAAAAAGATACAGATCTGGAAGATGTACTCGGCTCCACCAGTCTGAAGAGGAGAAAACCAACGAAGCCCAGGAGATTACAGGTCATCCTTGAAAAAGACAGGAAGCAAAGAAACCTAGCCAAGGCCATTCGAAGTAGAGTGGCATACAACACCTGTGAAATAAGGCTGCCTACGCCTGGACTGTAACAACAGAGATACAATGTATCTATGACAAAGGAGCTGACCTCAAGTTGTGTGGCAGCAGGGATTTTAAAAGAAAAAAAAAAACTCACAAAATGTCTTTAAAAACAATCTCACCACTTGAGTCTAACGCCTATTCCCTACTGTCCTGCCCATCACTCCACATTTGATAAAATCCATCGCTATGCTGTGGCCAAATTCTCTTTCAATTTGATTTGTGTCACTGCTGTGTCTGCACTTGAGGACATGTGCTTATGCATTTTTCTAACCAAAATCTTCTCACCTGAAACATTCTTTTTTCTTAAGTTTTCACTTTCTAGTATGGAACATTCAAAGCCAAGAGACAACTCACTTTTTTCTTCCATCTCTATATAAAACTCATGTTTGTAATAATTCTTATCTTACTACAAAAAGTAACAACTGAACCACAGTACAGTAAATAATGCAGTCTTGTAGTTTTATCACTGATTAATACAGTGAGAATTGCTGATTACAAACCAAAAACTCAGTTCAACAGTTTCGAGTTTCTATCAGGAAAACTTTAATAAGCTCTTTTCAAACTAACAAGTTTCAGAGTAAAAAGTTTTTAAACACTTGAAATGTTTTTAAAGTTTTATTTCCTTGTAACAAAAAAAAAGACGATGTTACATATTTAACCGACTAATAGTAGCTGTGTAGAAACAGTAGACAGAAAGTGTAAGGTGCTCTAAAACCTGGAGCCATAGTGCTTTATTTACTAGGTACAGGTGTACTTCTCAAACCAAGACGCTCCAAAGTCAGGTGCAGAGTGTTTATGAAGTTAGTGCCGGTATCCTGACACCCTAGAGAAAACACAAGCTTTCAGTTCGTGCAGCAAGTCCACGCAGAGGGTACTCTAAAAGGTCGCTACAACATATCCCTCAGAACTGACTGTCTTGGTTCTACCAACCTTGAAGAACTGCAAACTGACCTCTGCCCCAATCAAGCTGGCAGACAGTATGCCTGTAGTAACTGGGCCTGGTTCAAAACTTGGGCCAACTAACCGCGGGGGAGGCGCCTGGGAAAACGGCATTATCAGGTGGAAGGAAGAGGAGCCAGAAGTCAGCCAGCAGGGCCAGGAATGGCTTGAGTGCAAGTGTATGCGTGTGCTGGGGTATAGAAAAGGGGCCCTGAACGGCAGAAGCAAGTAAGGGTCATCCTTAAAACGCCAGTTCGCCCCGAGAGGGACATGTGAGTGGACAAGCACGGTTCGAGTCCTGAGCAGGGGGCGCGGTGAGGCAAGCGTGTCACTGACGTCCTGTAACTAGCGAGCAGGGACGATATGGTGACCCGGCACCCCCATCCGTCCCAGCACAGTGCCTGGCGGCTGGCACGCAGCCGACTCTCTCTGAATGAACGTCCCGAGTCTTGAAACCACAGGCTTCTTCCCGGACACCCAGACTTGCAGCGGGACAACAGCGCAAGCCGAGTGCGGAGGGAGCGGGTGCAGCGATCCCAGGCACGTGTCAGCGTCGGGGTCCGAGTTCAGGGGCTGCCCTCCGCCCGCCCACGGCACTCACCCGGATGCCCTTCACCACCGTGATGTTCTCGTTCTCGTCGGCCTCGAAGGTGACCCGGCGGGTGCTGGCGGTCCCGCCCATGGCTCCTGCTTCTGTCCCCGCGGAGCCCGAGCTTGGACCCACGAGCGCGTCAGGACCCACGCGCACACCTGCGCGTGAGAGCCCCGGGAACGTTTCCCCTGCCCGGCGGGAGCAAGGCCACGACCCCAAGGAGCAAGGAGAAGGCGCCGGTCCCAAAAGCCCGCCCCCTCCGGTCACGTGCCAGGAGTGGGACGCCTGGGGTTGGCCCGAGAGGCAAGCCGCCCGCCTCTTATCGGAAGGTGCTCCGGGATTGGTGGACCCGGACCCGGATGCTATGGCAACAGGTCGGTGCTTAACAAAGCTTCCGGAGCCTCTGAGTGTAGTGGGAGCTGTAGTCTTTTCTGGCTCCAGAGCTTGCAAGGGGTGTAGAGCATTCTGGGAGTTGTAGTCTTGATGGCCCTTGATGTCTCTTAACTGGTCTACTTTCAAAGTTTGTTCACCCAGTCAGCTTGATTCGCAATTTACTCTAGAAACTTTGGTCAGTTAAGTAGGCAGTGGTTCTCCACTCAACTGCAAGCTAGATGTGGGAGATGCACTCCCCTAAACAAGCAATTCTTACATTCCTATTCTCAAATCTCTGTCACTAAATGTAACATTTTGCCATTTAGTCTTAAACTTTAAGGGGCAGAGACCGTATTTGCTTATGTTGCTGTCTCATGGCCTAAGTATTTGTTCGGCTGTGTGAAATGAAACTTTCAATGTTAGGGTTTTCAAATATGCATACGAAAATACATAGGAAAAAATTATTTACACCAACCATGCAGTCAGAACACTATTTCCCACATTTGTGTCTCCCCTGCTCCTCCGTAAGTTAGATCACCAGGCAATTAGGCTGAGAAGAGTAATCACCATAGATGGCATAAATTTGTGGAGAAAATAATATGGCATTAGACAAAATTGAGATCATCTGTTTTGGAAAGTTTCTAACACAATACTTTACCTCCAGGAAGAGTAAAAAATTTTAGGTTATCCGTGTATTTCTTTTTTGTTCTTATGGTTTTTGTTTTGCTTTTTCTAAACACTTGCTAAAAGTACAGTGTGTTCTTAGATTTACAGGGGCAGATAAATACTCGTTAGAAGTAGGATGGATGGGGCTCTAGATATGGTCAGTTGTATGGGCAGTGCACACAGCCCTAGCTATATGAGGGAAGACAAAGGAAGAGAGGGAAGGAGAGTGGAGGAGGAGGGGAGCAGGCAGACAGGAGAGGAGGGAAATGGGAGGGGACAGAACTAACTGAACTTGGACATTCTTTTCAATTCGTCCTTTTGGGCATTAAAAGATCTAGAACATAGCATACTATTCCATCCGTTTTTGCCAGAGGGATACACAACATTGAAGAACTATCTTGAGCTTCATTTATTTGTCAAGATGCCAGAATTTGTACAACAGAAGCTTAAATCTCTCCCATTCCTAGATCCCTGGTCAGTAGCAGAGTGTTCATTTCATCTTGTCTTGCCATCCATTTTAACAAATGTGCATCTTAAATCACACTGTATTTTTGAGACTATCTGCCCCCCTACTTGTCCTCAAGTTATATCACAGTCTGTAAAGAGAAACCTTTTCCTTGAGAGAAGCCTTCCCGCCAGCCTGGTTCTAGAGCCGCATCAGTCCCAAATAAATACACAGGAGGCTATATTAATTACGAAGCTGTTGGCCTTGCTTGTTTCTTACTGGCTAGCTCTGACTTAAGTAATTACCCCATAATTGTTAATCTAAGTATATCTCTTACCGGAGAAGTTTCCAGGCTTCCTACCCCGGACTCTCTGTGTTTCTCCTTCCCAGAGTTCTCCTGGACTCCTAGTCCCACCTATTTTGGTTCCCTATTGGCCCAACAGTGCTTTATTGACATATACATAGGACTTCCCCCATCAACAGTCAAACATTCTTCTGCAGGGAACCCAAACACCCAGGGATTGCCATTCCTTATAGTAGGTCCTCCCTGTCCACAAATACAACCTCACTTCCTACAACATACACGGCATGTATTGGGGAAGCTACATATAACAGTCACTCCATAAAAGCTTGCAGAATTAAAGGCTTCCATATGGAGAGTACAGAGATAAAAACACCACTTGTTAACAATGAAGAAAGTCAAGTGTGGGAAGGAAGCAGATGCCTTCAGTTGGGGAACAAAAAGGCATTTCAGTGGTCTTCTTGGCAGAAGATGCAAAATGCTTTCAAATTCCTAGCCCATTTCAAGCAACACTAAAGAAGTCTTCCAAAAACAGTAATAATACATCTTATTTGGGGGGGGGATGCTTATGTTGACAATACTGTTCTCCTCATGTCAATTTCAAGGCCTGTCATTCGTACCATCTCTTCCTGAACGGTAGAGAATTAGTGTCCTCCTCGTCTCCCTGGCTATAGCTTCCTTGCGGTCTTCTAACCCAAAGGCAGCATCGTTTATTAGCCAGAGATATAGGAAACAGAATGCAAAGCTTGAAAAACAAAACCTCAACTTGAACCACCACCCAGATTCTCTCTCCCTTTTCTCTATTTTTGGTATCACTTTCTCAAGTTTAAATGTGAAATTCACAGCACACAAGAAGAGACTCAGAGCAGCTCGGGTAATGAACCAGGAAGTATCACAGCAGATTACGGGGGGGGGTGAACCAGGAACCGTAAGCAGAATAAAAACACCCAGATGGAAAGAAAACCGTAAAACTGCCTTTGTCGCACATGACAGGACCCTATAAATAGGAAATCCCAAAGAATCTACTAAAAAAAGGAATTGTTTTTAAGGTTCAGCAAGGTTACAGAATGTAAGATCACAGTAGAAGTTCCAGTAAATTCCTATATGCTGCAACTTGGAAGCCCAAAATGAAATAAACACATCAATCCCACGGGGGATAGTATCAAAAATATCTCAGATGTCCATTTATTGATAAGTAGATAAATGTGATACAGCATTTCCAGATAATGGAATAGTATTGGGTAATAAAAAGTACAAAGTGCTGGCAGATGCTACAGAATCGATGAATCGAAATATTAGGTCGTAACATGAAACATTATGCCAAGGGTTAGAGGGAAGGCTCAGCAGTTAAGAGCCTGCGCTGCTCAGGTTCAGGTCCCAGCACCCATGTGACAGCTCATAACTGCCAGTAACTCCTGTGCTCAGCCACCAGACCCCTCTTCTGGCTTCTGCAGAGACCAGGCATACACTTGGCACACATATATGCAGGCAGACAGAACACATGCATGATACAAATAAATGCACTTTTTGTTATTCCCAAGAAAAATTCCAGACACAGAAAGACGATACATTGTGTGATTCCATTTAAGTGAAGTGTGCAGAATAAACAAAAGTAGATTAGGCTTATGGGGTTTGGGAGGTTGGATGGGAGATGGAGTTCTAACTGGTGCATTGTTTCATTGCAGCGTGGTTGATAGAGGCAGGTTAAAACTAGTTTATGGCGATGATTCTGCAGCTCTACCAATACACTAAAACTGACTGATTTGCGCACTCAAACTAAATGTTTTTGACATGTAAGTCACACATTAATAAAGGACAGAAATTCATTTAGCATGCAACTAAGTCAAATGTGAAAGAGGTTTTAGTAGAAAAGGTGGAACTGGAGGTATAGATCCATGGCAGAACACTTGGCTAGCATGGACAAGGCTCTAGGCTTGAGTCTCTGCATCAAAGAGAGTGTGCTGGGGAAACGGTTGGATGGGTGAAGAGCTGGATATAAGCATAAGGACCCGAGTTCAGATCCTCAGTACCCACATAAAAAACTGCAAGGCGGGGAGAAGCAGAGAGTTGCGGTCCGTTGGGCCCCTTAGTCAGCCAGCCTAGACGAAGAGACAAGTTGCAGATTCAGTAGAGGCACAGAAGCTATTGAGGAAGCCTCTGTGACCTCAAACTCTAACCTGCACATACATGCAATACATGCACCCATATAACCTATCTCCTCCCTCTCTCTCTCTCTCTCTCTGTCTCTCTCTCTCCTCTCTCTCCTCTCTCCTTCTCTCTCCCCCTCTCTCCTTCTCTCTCCTCTCTCCCCTCTCTCTCTCCTCTCTCTTCCCTCTCTCTCCTCTCTCTCTGTCTCTCTCTCTCCTCTCCCTCTCTTCTCTCTCTCCCCTCTCTCTCCTCTCCCTCTCTCTCTCCTCTCCCTCTCTCTCTCCTCTCTCTCTCCCCCTCTCTCTCCTCTCTGATAGCTGTTGCACTACAACTATTGCTCACTGTATCACATCAGTCAAAAGTCCAGTGGGGTGGGGAAGGCTCAGAAGGCCCTAGCCAAGGAGTTATTAGCAGCTCATTGCTTCTGGGGAAGGGAGAGTCGTTTTCCTTCAGTTAAGTGCCGACACTCCACTAGATAGCTCACACCGTGTGCATAATCACATCCCTATTGGACTCAGTGAATTATAATTTTTTTTTGGTTTACGAGACAGGGTTTCTCTGTATTGTTTTGGAGGCTGTCGGTCCAGCCTGGCCTCGATCTTACAGAGATCCGCCTGCCTCTGCCTCCCGAGTGCTGGGATTAAAGGCATGTGCCACCACTACCCGGCAATTATAATATTTTTATAAAAAGAATTTTTAAAAAGGAGACATGAAGTTTGAAGATAACATGTAGGAGGGTCTGAGGAGTGTGAGTTAGAAAGTGGGGGAGATAAATACGACCAAACTACAATGTATACATGCACAAAATTCTTAAAGAATACACAAAAATAGTTTTTAAAGAATGAGAAGCTTTGGATAGTGAAATATAAGTCTATCAAAAGGGACAGTAGCGTGAAGTGAAGTGAGTTACAGCTTTGTCTCACAAACTCAGAGCATGGAGCAGAGACACATGCCTCGAGAAGTTTCCAGAGCTGCTTAGAACTCTGAGAAAATCTCCAGATCCAATCTTCTTCAAATGGTTGTTCTTATTGAAGCTTCTGCTTGCACTCAGGCTCCTCTCTACCCTCCTCTGGGATGCCCATAGCTTTACCAAAAACTTCCTGGTAGCATAAGCCACAGAGCAAAAGCCACAGAGCCACACGACTCCCCTCAGTCTCCAGACAGCAACACTGTCCTTAGCTGCATCCCTGATAACCAACAGGGCATAAATCTTAGCTTGGCCACCATGATAGCTAATCTTGACTGTCAGCTTAATTGGATCTGCAGTCAACTAAGAGACATGCCTCTCTGCCATCGAATATTTCTGGGGGACTAAGGAGGAGGGCAC